TTCCAGAACATGCACCAGCAGTTTAACATTTTGTGATTTTTTGTAAATGATGACGTTTATAAGGTATTAGCAGAAAGAATCGGAGTTAATCATATTGAGTACCTACAAGGTCAACAACTAATCGACTTGAAGAACTCATAAAAAAAATGCACAAAATAAGATTCACCAAAAACAAAATTTTGATTTGCTCATTTCAAAAATGGATTTGATATTATTTTCTAACCTGAACTTGGCCCACTTAAATATAAAAAAAATGTATAACTTCTACAAAAAGAATTTGCTAATTTGAGGAATAAATTTGCATATTATTTGCTAAATATCGGTATAGGTTTGGATGGGGATCAAGCAAGTCGGTGGGTCAAGTTCATGGACGTACAAATGTTTGTTTAAAATACCTTAACATTTTTTTCATTCAACTATCTTCTGATACACAAAAATCGGTCATCTAATAAGATGCTCCTAAAAAAAATTTTCTGATAAATGCCTACAAAATTGAAAGCAAACAATTCATTATTTTAATTTTAATTTTAACGTACAGAAATCAAAATAAGTGTTATTAATGTGATTTATTAATAAAATCGTAATTAATTCATTACTTTTCTTACAATAGCAAAAATGTGTATTCTTTAATATTGATCAACCCCACACTTAATATTTTTATGCATTTTAATTCGTAATTGTTAACATCAATAATTTATAAAATAATCGAGTTTCATTAGATTCTGAGCGTAGTCAAGTTGAATAAGAGTATATAAATAGGATAAAAAATATGAACTGAATAAAAAAAATATAAAATCTAATTTTTTTTATTCATATAACATGTTTTGGAACTTGTACTTATGACTGGAGTCCAAACTCAGTTTTGGCGCATAAATCTAATAAACAATATTATCGCTTGAGTTCTATTTCAAAAAATCAAATATAATCAGTAATTATTGGCATAAACAATTGTTTGTACACAATAATTGATATCAGTTTAAACAATGTTTGCCCAAAGAAGCATTTCATAGGCTCATTTCAATGAGAAATACTACACTACACATCATATATCAGGCAACACACGTGATTATTATTTCGCAACATAAATATTATCAAAAATATAATACGTCGCAAAGGGTCTGTGAGCTTATTAGTTTATGGACAAATGTAGACCAAATTAAGTAGAAAAATTTTAGTACTGTGTGAAACCCATGTGTCGTATATTTTATGGTTCAATCGTTTCCAAACGAATGGTATAGTTTTGTGCGCTTAAGAGGTGCGCCCATGAGGTATAGACAGTGCCAATTTGTACCGGTGTAACACTTTCTGGACCGGAGAAAAAGTCGTACAGATATTTTAACCTAGATGCTTCCTAGTCGGATAAGGTTAATGTTAATTCGCGAAAATTAAATATTATTTGTCCAACATATTCGTCCAATTAAAATTAACCGAATTAATTGAATGACCGAAAATCGTACACAAATAACGTGTATCGTATAATATGTGAACCAAATAACGTATTCCTCAACAATAAAACACCATTGTGAATATTAAAGTGCAATATAAAATATTATATTCTGTTCGGCATAACATGTGTAATTTATAATTTATATTGAACTGTACTCGACAAAATGTGTTAGCATGAGCACACCTACCTTTTACGTATAAAATGTGATGTCACAGTATTAACCCTACTGTTGTGCTTGAGGGTGGTAAATTTGTCGGTTTCTTCCGGTGAATCGGAGTTTGGCACCACGATAATTAGGCCGACACCCGCGACAGCACGATTATAATGCAATGTTAAAAATGTTTACGTTTTATCGAACAGATTCGTGTGCATCTTTTGTAACAATTTTTATATTTTCACGGAATACTTAAGAGGCTCGAGCTCGAATGCTGCAAGCCAATACGTGTACCCAGTGTACGTATCGTTTACAATATATACGAATAACCTGTACCGATTTCCCCCCACTCGTTAATACTGCTTACACCCGTCGCATTAGCTAACTAATATTTGTTTTATGATCAAAAAAACACACACAAATATTATACGTTTAAAACCCATTTAAAGGTGCCCGTAATTTTTAAACGGTTACAAAATACTATGATGCCATTATTACCATTTCCATATGTATCGGTACTCTACGACTGTGGAAACGAAAAACTTAATATTGTATTCAATGGACATATTATAGTGAATAGAATGACCTCGAAGTTCGTGATATTATTATTTTTAATAATAAACAAACGTATACATACATTTATTAAGACAGGTGGATAACATTTCATTTGAATAAGCGTACTGAGGTTTTAGCGGAATATCTTTAAACCAACAACTTATTTCGACTCAGGTAATAATTAAATTTAGTGATGTAAAAATAAGGTAAGTATTTTTTTGTTGTTGATGTATTATTCCATTGTATAGGTACCTTGTATTAAACTTGCTATAATTCTGTGTGCACTAAACTATAGCATAATTAAGTTTTGTATAATAATGAACACATACCACGTTTTATGAGGCATAGAATTCAAATTACTAAAGGTATGATAATTTGAAATTACATACAAAACTTAGAATTTTCAATCATATCTAGTTTGAAAATCGAATCTTCTTTAAAAAAAAAAAAATTAATCGACAATGGACAGTATTGAAATAATTAAGTATTCAATAACAATAAAAAATAGTTCTATGCAACTTCTATAATACTATATCATTGATTTGTATTATACAAATCCGCTTCACTATGTAAAATATCTGTTTCTGGTTTCTGCAGTAGGTATTTATCATTAACGATAAGGGATAAAAAATAATTTGTGTCTTATGAAAATGATAATTTAAACTCATTTACTGTGAATCGGAAATATAAGTACCTATGAAACTACTCTAAAAACTGAATAATTATTTTTAATTAAATAAAATATTAATATGGAATCAATAAAAATATGATATATTAAATAACATTTTACCTACATAAATACCGAGGTCGAAAAAATACTCGATAATGTATTTTTCCTAGTTATTCTATTAATAATGTATATAATAAGAATACTGTCAATTTACATATTATATAAAATTTTATTAGAAAAATCCACTAAATATAATATTTTGTTATTTAACAATCATGTTAGACACATACACATTTTTTTTATCGTTATTAAGGTTACATTATACAAATTTATATTCGTATAATCGTCATATTCTTTGAAAATAAAATATAAGCTTATGATTATGCATTGATTTATAT